TATAGTTTAACAGATAAACTGAACAACTGTGGTTCTGGGCAGACTGAGGTCAGGGGTCCCTTGGATCTGTGAGAAACACTGTCTCCCAGCAGTCAGAAGACCCGTGTGTACAGAGTCGGATTTGAACACCCTTCCGGGATGTTCACAGCAAACTCACACCCATTCTTCACCTCCTCAGACAATCCACGGAGCCCAGGTTAGGAAGTTGTACCTTTATAGCATCTCATGTTTTTAAAAAAAAATTAGAATTTTACGGTGGGATCAAAACTGCTTTCAGAAAGATAGAAACTAAAATTCACTAAAAACAGGCAAGTGAACCAAGAACGACTGCATGGTGGACAGACACAAAACTTATTCATTCTGGCCTGAGAGACAGAATATACCCAAAGATGGGGAATCTCTTTAAAAAGCCTTTGAGAAAAAGGGATTAATTAGTAGTTTTCTGTTGGAATTTTATCCCAGAAATGTTTTCTGATGTATAAAACATCAGAATTTGTGTATAAGTGATATTTATCTTTGATTCCCTTAAATGCTATCTCTTCTTTCTCATCTAATCAGTTGTCAACAGGTGAGTCTCTGGAGGATGTGGAGAAAAGGGAGCCCTCCTACACTGTAGGTGGGAATGTAAGTTAGTACATCTACTATGGAAAATAGTATGAAGTTTCCTTAAAAAACTAAAAATAGAACTACTTTATGACCCAGCAATCCCACTTCTGGGCATATATCCAGAAAAGATGAAAACTCTAACTCAAAAAGATACATACACCCCAATGTTCACAGCAGCACTATTTACAATAGCCAAGATAACGAAGCAACCTAAATGCCCATCGACAGATGACTGGATAAAGCAGATGCGATGTACATATATGTATGGAATGTATAATGGAATACTACTCAGCCATGAAAAGAATGAAATAATGCTACTTACAGCAACATGGACGGACCTAGAGATTATCATACTAAGTGAAGTAAGTCAGAGAAAGGCAAATATATGTCATCACTTACATGTGGAATCTTAAAAAGTGGCACAAATGAACTTATTTACAAAACAGAAACAGACTCACAGACATAGAAAACAAACTTATGGTTACCAAAGGGGAAAGTGAGGGGAGGGATAAATTAGGAGTTTGGGATTAGTAGATACACACCACTGTATATCAAATAAACAACAAAGATTCACTGTATAGCACAGGGAGCTATATTCATTATCTTATAATAACCTATCATAGAAAAGAATCTGAAAAAAATATGAATCACTCTGCTGTACACCTGAAACTAACACAGTATTATAAACCAACTATATTTCAATTTAAAAAAAGTTGGGTCTCTGGGATCAGCCCTCTTTGAGCTGGGTTTCCGTGGAGGAGGACTTCATGCCAGAATAGGCCAAACAGCTTCCCTGATTCAAGCATCACTTCTACTTAGCCCCTCCCTTCATCTCCAGCACCTGTGCCTCCTCAGTCTGGTACGACTGTGTACTATAAATTTTAAATAAGCAAAAGTGGAAAAAAAAAGCTTTAATAGTCTTCTTGATTTGTTGGTTGAAAAAGTCTCCATCTATTTAATATTTTATGAATATTATTCAAAAGTTTGGCTTGAAAAACTGAATGAAGAGTTTTCATCGCAGTTTGATGCATCATTTTACGTAGCTGGAAACGGACTTAGATGAAAAACGGGAGAGGTCAGTGCCGGGCAGTGCAAGAAAACTCCTGAATGGTAGAGGTAACTCAGGAGGGGTCCAGGTGAGTGAAGCCATGAAGAACAAGCGAGAAGAATTCTGCCAGTCAAACTGGGAAACTAACAAGAACTGTCTTCGCCCAGGCTTCCTGTCACTTACATTTCTGCTAAAGGCTGACAAGGAAAATACAACCCCAGATATTTCACTCTGATTCTTTGTCTCTGTCCCCTTTAAGAACAGCCTCTCAATCCTCCATTATTTTTTGAATGAAAAATGAGGTTACAGTGTTATTTAATACTCAAATGTAGTCCTTCGTAGCTATTACCCGATATGAAATTTCTAAATGCAGTGCAGAAAAGTCATCCATTTTACTTTTCATAAAATAAACAAAATTTAGATTTGAATCCCAAGGACTTACATCCTAAATAAGAATTTATCTCCATTCCCTCCACACATATTTCACCTAGGCAGTCGTGTGTGCAGCTGCATTCAATTTCAAGCCAGGTGTATCTGAAAGGGAAAGAACTAAGATCCCTGCTCCCATCACTGGCTGGTCAAAGAATGTAGTATAAAAAAGAATACAGGGGGCTGGTAGCACACATCCTTAGCATACACGGGGTCCTGGGTTCCATCCCCAGTACCTCCATTAAAAAAAATTAACTTAAAATGGATCATAGACTTGAGTGTAAGAGCTAAGCTTATATATAAAACCTGTAAAAGAAAACATAAGAGAAAAGCTAGTGACCTCGGATTTCACAAAAATTTCTTGACCACAGCACAAAAAACAAACTATGAAAGGAAAAACAATCAATTAAAAAAAAAAAGAAAAGAAAACAGAACCACACACAGAAGCAAGCAGAAGTCTGTTTCTGTTTGTTTCTTCATCTGAATTTTGAACTAGTGTCACCAAACTAGACACCGGGTACACGCAGCTCACTTTCCAACAGCCTAGCTTCCCAGCACTCCTCCAGGTGAACAGCACATTGGCTTATGCAGCTGGAGTCATGACTTCATCTCTCTGCCCATTACTCAGCTCTCTCGCTCATTTTTTTTTTCTTTTAAGATATAAGCTCTGCTCCCACCCCTGACCCCCAGTAGAATTCTTGTCAATCACCAGGCTCATTTGTTACCTTTCTTTAATGGACATGGTTTTGCTGGGGGAGTCGAGGATGCCCTCCACTGCTGGTACTTTGATCTCTCCAGCTGCAAACATGGCACACGGACTCCTGTGGTGCTTCTCCAGCTGTTCCGAGGGGTCAGGCTGCTTCCAGGACACGGGGGTTGCAGTTTGAGCAACGGTTTTCCCAGCAGCTGTGCCTGTCTGCTCAGAAGTGGGCTCCCCGAACTCTGCTTCTGGGAAGGAAAGGAGCAGCGTCAGCACTTACTTCTCCAAGCAGACATTCTTCAAGCCATTCACCCCGCCGCCGACAATCCCGCACTTGGAGTTCAATCCGTGGGCACATGGCAGGTTACCCAGCCCACCTGGATTCCTGCAAATCTGGGGCATTGCTACAGTCTCTGGGAAAACCAAACTTCCCAGTGGGTGGCTCCGCCCAGTTTTATGACCGCTGATCTCTTCCTATGGGCAGGACACAGGAAGTCAGCCTGAACTCTACATGACAGAATGTCTCCACTCCTCCAAAACAATACTTTGACATTTCAAACGTGCTGTACTCAAAAGCCACTACTGTAACTTACACGCTATCATTTTATGTAAATGCAGAAAGAGAATGAAAGTTCCCAGCAGTACAACTTGCTCGTCTGCGTAAGAGGGATGTAAAAGAATCTAAACTGCAGACACAGGCTTCAAGTTCTTACTCCCTGTGCTTACCCAGCCCCAGAACTTCGGAGCCATCAGTTTATAAAAGAGGCCAACAGAGCTGGCAGTTCACAGGGCTCTAACGTGAGTTAATACGACCAAAGCCATCAAAAACCCACATCTAGATGTGCAAAAGCACTTCAGGTATTTTGATGGTAGAAACACTGATTAGTCCCTGAATGAGTCAGATTCAAGGGGAAGAGAATGCTGGCGAGAGAAGGATTCGCACTGGACTGTCAATAAAACCTGAATACTTATTATAAACTGCCTTCACAGTTCAGTTAAAGACATCACAAACCCCTGCTGCCCATCAAGCAGAAACCAAAGAAGCAGCGGTAAGTTACCTCTCAGCGAAAACTTCCTCTTCGTGACATCCTCTAAGTCCACCTTCTCTTCAAAGAGCTGCCTGTGCTTGGAGTCTGGGCTCCCTTGCATGGGGCTTCTTGCAGTGGAAAATTCCTCCATTTCATCACCAAGATGGGCAATGGGAGGGTGAGTGAACTCCAGGCTTCCCTTTCTCAGAACAGTGTACATGGCTTCTTTAGGACTGTCCCCTTCCCGGACTCCGCTAAGGGTGGGGCAGGACAGCTCTGCTTCTGCAAAGGACTCGTACTTTGTAACCCCAACGACTCCACCAGTCAAGACACCCTTGCTTTCCATCTCTTCAAATTCTCTCAACAGTCCTTTGCTCCCACCACCGTCTACCGAAGGCTGCCAGGCTTGGGATTTCAAGATGCTTCTCACTGGAGAGTCTGAATTTTCTATCGAAGACGGAAATTTATGCTCAGTGGCACTGGAGCTATCATCCACCGATGGCTTTGTCCGAAGACTCCCTGCGTACATTGGAGTGACAGCAGATGCCATGGTGGACACAGATGTGTTCACAGGGGGTGAGAAGGGAATGAGCTTCCCACTTTGTACCTGGAAGGAACAGTTCAAAAGGAAAAAGTGGATTTAAAAATACTGCCTATGTAAATCTCGGTGTGTAGATTGACATGGATGGAGAGACGGCACTTTGGGCAGTTTTGCTACTTCTCCTGGTGAGAAACAGATCCTAGAAATAGCTGTGTAATGCATCTCATTAAAAAAAACAGCTGGGTGAAAAGCAGGTCGTGCATCCTATTTTTTGCCCCAAAATGGACTCAAGTCCAGATCATCTCAGCAATGACGAGAGTGAGAAAAGAGAAACATTCTTGGCATGGCAATCCTCCTTAGGAATGACTTATTACCAAATAATCTACAGGCTGCACGGTTTACAGGGAGATCACCTTCACAACATCACTAACCCCAGACGAACACTGTGCTCCCTTAAGCATATCCGTGCCAACTGGAGCCCGATCACAGGGCACCCACCTGTTCCACCTCTCCAAGCGTGACCGGCTGGGTCTGATAGCGAGCGTTCATCCTCCTCTGTCTCACGTCTAATCTGTTCCGCGTAGAGATCGCTTTGGAGACTGGCTGGGACAGTCTGTTAAACAAGGCCAGCTTCTCCGCGAGGCTCAGAGTGGAGGAATCAGGTTCCCCTGGCTCAGCACAGCCTTCGCCCTCGTTTGCCTGGTCTCTGGCTAACGCCTTCTGCTGAGCAGACGCCTGCAACCTGAAAGGGAGGAAAGGTCACCCACGCACAAGGAGGGAGACGCAAGCCCACCGCTCCCTGTGTGTTAACTGTCTGCAAAGTGTCACCTCAATTGCAACGGGGGCTTATATTTTCCTACCCCTATTTAAGACAGGTGTGGGCAGCTGGTTAGCTATTAACAAGATGGAGCAGAGAAGGGGGGGACCCTCGCATTGACCATGTCACAAAGAGCAGATCTTCTGCTCGGAATTATTTTTGAAAATTGAATTTCCTATGTAAGGAATTAAAGTCAGCTTGGATATACCTTATCTTACAGAGAAGTTGTATTGTTAGTATTAACAATAAATAAAGGCTCAAATAGGAGCCCTCGGCTGTTTCTGATGGTGTATTTAGACATCTCAGTGTGTGGTTCAGAAGGTGGTCCTTACGTTTTCTTTTATTTTTATTACCCTTTTTAACTGAAGTAGAGTTAATTTACAATGTTGTGTTAGTTTCAGGTGTACAGCATAGTGATTTGGTCATATATATATATATGCATATGTCTATATTCCTTTTTAAAAACTTCTTTCCCATTATAGTTTATTCCAGTTTAAATAATTAAGAAACAATGCAGTCATTCTATCAACAACTTTATCTCCAACACAAATGCTTTAATTGTAAAAATTCTCTCTCAGGGGTTTCTACCTATTTCCTAAAAGATACTTAAATCTGAAATTCCTGATAACTTGAAAATGTCAGGAAGGAGCCACTGGGCACTGATAAATCCTTCCAACTTCCAGGTAGAGGAGAAGGTTCTAGTTACCCAGTCCCTGCGGAGCTTGGCGGGTCTAAGACACGGTACCTTCTGCTACTAGCAAATCTGAGTCTCCAACCCAGTGAAAAGTATATTCTGCCCTGACTCCAATTAATCAGCACTCCACGGCTTGCCCCAGACAAAGGAGCAGTGCCAGTGTTCTGGGGTGCAGTGAGGATGGCAGTAATGCCAGCCTGAGTCCTGGACCTTTCCTGAGCTAGAACTAGGTGTGGTGGTGACTCGCTTCTCCAAAGACAGCTCGGCTTCTGGGCGATGCCAGCTTTATTTCTGCACTGTCATTTTACTTCTCTTAATCTTATTTTTAGCCTCTGTGCTTTGGCCCATAACAGTAAAATAGAGGGAATATTTACATGCCTTAAGGACATAATTTTTAAACACCACATTAAAGTCTAATAGTAAAACATCCAAATTCAGACATTATAAATTGTTATTGTCCCAATCCCCCTAAATAACAGCATTGTGTCTCGATCCCTTAGAAACAGGTTTGTTTTTAACAAGTATTTACGTCTACAACTGTTAAAAAAAACTGAGTGTTATCAGAATTTCAACATTCAAATTAACACCCTATTTTTTGGTTAATCAAGTGCTAGTATTTAAGATGAAGGATGAAAGTTTTTAGGGATGACAATGATTATGAAAAACAGAAACCGAACCAATGGGTGAGTGTGTTAGTGTGATCCGAGTTCCAAGACACGATGGAAGCAGGTGGGCGGAATGCTGTCGCACGCAGCCCTGCGTGAAGGCCCCTGTGTCTTGCACTGGGACCAGTGCTGCACAGTCCCCGGAGGGACTCACTGCAGACCTGCTTGTCAGACAAGTGACAGGCACTCAGGATCGTGAGACATATCTGCTGCTGTGCACCTGCGCTCAGCGCGGCACGCAGCGACTTCAGTCCAGTACCTGGCGGGCTGCACGGGGCTCTTAGCTACAGTGACACTAGGAAGTCTTGCCTTTACGGGGCGGGTGGCCACAGAGCACGGAGCAGGGAGAGGTTCACTTTAAAAGCAATTGCCAAAGATGGAACATTCATAAGGAGAGAGAAGAAAAGAAGCATTAAGGAAAGCACAGTTTTCAATTCAGACACATGAAATCAAAAAGCATTGTAACAAAATCATTGGCTAATTACTTTGGAAAATTCACAAAAGAACTTGAAAAGCAATTAAAAATGTAGAAAATAAGAGACAGAGGGCACCCAAAGTAAATGGAAAAGGATAGGTTTTTTGAGCTTGGAAAGGATTTAGAATATTTTGAATAAGTGTCTTGGTTAAAACACACACACACACCCCTCCAAGCTTAAAAAAAAAAAGGGAAATTTTAACCACCAGTAAAGTAGTAGATTACGCCTGTGTTTTAGAAGGTTGTTCTGAGCTATTTTTATAAAGATTCAGGGTCCTCATATACTATATAAGCACGACAAAGCACATTCAGTGAGTCTGACCAGGGGAACACTTTTGCTTATATTTACTGTTTTGCTCCCAGGGGTGGTTGCTTCTTATTTCACAACAGCCACCCAAATATTAAAAAAAAAACCCAAAAAACAACAAACCTGACTTGCTAAGAGTACCTAATGAAAACAAGATGTACTTATCAACAAATACACAAAGATGTGAGGGAAGGGGAGGCCACTGGCCTAACAGCAGGTTCCCAGGTGTGGGCTGTGACACAAAGTCCTTTTGGGATGTGGATGCCTTGAATGAGATGAACTTCATTTTTTCAGGAAGGGTATGTGTGTGCACGTGTGTGTCCAGGGAGGCACAAATACATTAAAAAAAAACTAATAAAAGTTTTCCTCCAATGGAAGCAGTGATCTCTGAATGAATTACTTTTGGGAAATTCATTCTGAACACATTGAAACACACTGCTCAAAACCAACTTCCTGGGGTGGGGGAGGGGATAGCTCAGTGGTAGACCATGTGCTTAGCATGCACGAGGTTCTGGGTTCAACACCCAGTACCCCCATTTAAAAAAAAGAACTTCCCACAGTTTGGAAAGTTATCAAACTTCCCATTAATTTTTAAAAAATCATGGTGATTATTTAGAAACAAATCAAGAGAACCCTCTTTGCTTTTTGAGATATGTCCTAAAATATTTATGGATGAAATTATATCTGGGGTTTGCCTGAGAATACTGCAGCAGGAAATGCAAAGTGGAGCAGGGGACAGAAGTTGAGCAAGATGGGTCAAGTTGTTGGCTGCTGAAATGGGGTGGTGACATGCGGGCTCATTATATTCAACTGTCTACTCTTGTTTTAAATTTTCCATTGTCAAGAGAGAAAAAAAAGTGCAGAGGCAAAAAAATTGAACAAAATTCCTCTTCGTGCTTTTCTAGGAGATACAATAGGTCATAATTACAAAGTTCAGAGACACCAAGCAAGGAGAACCCCTAAACACCTGCTACTCTGTGGCTTCTAACCGAACCATCTTCTGATCAATCGCCTCATTTTAATTTAAAAGTCTTTCAGTCTTTAAAAAGAAGACCTTACAGCCAAGGCCCAGAGGCCCCCAGGGGGACTTACGTGGCTGCAATGACCACCTCCTCGGTGGTGACCGGCTGGGTGTGGGATCTGTCCTGCAGACGCCGCAGCCTCTGCTCCACGGCCGCATTCCTGGGGCGTCGCTTCGGAACGTTCTTCTCATCAAATGATTTTTCCATTTCCTAAGATCGGAAATGTTGTGGAATCCTTATGAACTGGAGGAGAGCGAACTGGGGCAGCAGAATGTCACTACCTTGTTCCCCGCAGGACCTCTGGGAGGGACACACCTGAGAGGCAGCGCCACCATCAGCAGCGCACACACATGCTGGGTGGCTGGTGGGTGGCCGGTGGGCATGCCGGCCACACAGGAGGAGAGAACCACAGGCGGGCCAGCCAGCAAGAGGTGGGCCCAGGGCCCGGTGCGGGAGGCAGGCTGGCCGTGGGGCCTCCCGCAGGAGGGTGACGGCATTTACACTCACACTTAACAGCGCAGCTTACCCTGAAAAGCAGCCTCTTCGCGGCAACGCTCAGCCTGGCTCGCTCATCGACCTTTTCTTCATCTGTAAAAAGACACAAATGAAAACTGAACCTCATGAGAAAATGGAGGGAATGTCTCTGAAAAGTTTCCCAAGGCTGGCCTGTAAATCCTCTGAATGTAAGAACAGATATACTGAAAACTACATACAACAGGCAATATTCCCCCCTTGGTCGGGGAGCTCACTCCTCTGCTCAGTGACAAGGTCCCCATTTCCACCGCAGTTAACCAAACAGAGCTCTCGTCCAGACAGTCATCTTCTACGGGAGTATCCAACTTAAGAATAGATACGGTGGAAATAAGAATAGATTTTACAGAAGGAATATCTCTTCTTTACTGTTAGTCACAGGAAAGTAACAAGAAAAACCTGCTTCTTTGATTCAAATCAGTTATTTTAATATGGTTCCCCTCACGGCGCTCTCTCTCAAAAACAAGGGAAAGCACGTGTGAAAATCTCAGCAAAGTATTATTTTCACAGGAAGAAAACCTGCAGAAAAGAAAGGGATACATTCCATAATCTCATTCTCTCTGAAAGCAAAAATCTTATTACCTAAATCTAACCTGGGTGAGACAGTCAAGAAGAAAAGGGGGAAGAGCTGCTTACCGTCGGCAGGTGCCATTTCTGGATGCGAAGTAGACCTAGCAAAGACATCAGGAGAGAAATAACAACAATTAGCTGGTGGGAGTGGACAATCCAAGGAAAGCACCCAATTAAAAGTAAAAATAAAAATGCAATTAAACTCGCTGAAAGAGTATCTTCCTGGTAGCAATTCTGTTGTGAACACACGTGGACAGCTATTATCGACACCGTGGGGTACTGTGCACACAGCCCAGCAAAGTGCTCACCTCGTGGAGACACACCAGGACCGAGGACGACTGATTAAAGACGACCGATAATTTTTGAGACAAACCCTTTCATGTCTGTACACTAGCATATAGTAAGATAAAAACACAACACGCAGGCAGGCATTTATAAAATAAAACCTCTTAGTTCTTTTCACTGTAAGATCTGGTGGACAGTCAATTTGGAGTCTAGTTTAACAAGGGCATAAAAATTTAAAAACATTCAATGAGCAACATTTCTCACTTCTCATCATCCGAATGCAATTTAAAGCTGTATGCTGCGACTGTCGTCAGGGTCATGATTCTTTAAAAATACATTTATAGAAGCCAAATAAATAGCCCTTATAGCTGAGATGGCAGAATGATGCAGTCATTACTGCATCGCATGAAAACCGCCTCAGGACAACCCCTGCGGTAGGAATCCCGGGGGATTTCTGTTCAGCTCCTAGACTAGCGAGCTTCACATACACGTGCCTACCTATCCGATTCCTTTCGTTCTGCTGAGGTTACGGGCTGAGTTCTAAATCTCTCAGAAGTCTTTCTACTTTCACCAGGAGAAAAATAGCGTCTTGGTTTCCGGGCCCCTCTCTCCCGTTCCACACTGGTAGGCAAGCCAGCTCCTTCGCTTGGCCTCTCAACCCGTGAGCGGCTTTTAGAACCACAGGGAGAGGGGAGGACAGAAGGTGGGGGGAGACAGAGAGAGGGGATAAAGCAAAGGTTTATGTATCTCGGGGAGTCAAGGCACAGACACCGCCAAACCCCACCACGTGCCTCGACCATGCATCTTGGGAGGTGGAACATTCCAGAGACCCAGCACTCGACAGCTCCCCATTAGTAGGCGAAAGCAGAATGGTAGTGGTGGTGCCAGATCCTGGCCAGTCTGCCCTGCACACATGTGTGAGCTAAGCCACTAAGACTCAAGGCAGCAGACCACACAGGTTGAGAGGTGAATAACTCTGTCAAGGACGTGCAAGAGCCACATCAGGGATGTGCGAACATCACCTACAGCTCGGGTTTCTCGCTGGCTCGGACTGACTCCAGGAACGCGTTTCGGAGCTGGGCGACAGAGACCTTCGTGTCCAGCAGGCCCATTTCCACCTCAGCCTTGGACCTCTGCGGCTCCGGGTCTCCCCTGGAAGCGGGGTCCCTGCCCTTCAGGGCCTGGAGCTGAGGGGGGCCCGTGTAGTCGGACAGGGAGCGGGTGAGGACCTTGTGCTTCCTGGCAGGTGTGTCCTTTCTGTGACCCGTCACCCTGGCATCTTGGGACACGGCCTCTCTCTGAACATACACCACCATTTCGCTCCTGCCCATCCTCTCGGTGGGCTGGTGCTGAGGTGGAGGCGGGCAGGCCAGGCTTTCTGGCTCCTTCTGCGTTTCCATGGTGATGGTACCAATAACAGGCTTACCAGAGTCCTCGGTTCCAGAGGGTTCTTCCGGGCTTCTCTCGAGCCCGCGATCCTCTGAAGCCAGAAACGTTTTCCTGCTTTGCTCAAGAGCTTCGGAGAAGAGCAGCTCGTCCTCTGCTTTTGTTTCACAAATATGGAGATCAGGGGTGTCCCGTCTCTCACCTTCTAGAACCTTCGCCGTGGGAGGCATTGTGACAGCGTGGCTGGCTGGCTCCGCCCAGCTACACTCAGATATGTCCTCTGGGGTGTCCGAGGTCACCAGAGTGATGGTGTGGATGGGGTCTGCTGGCTGGACATAGCCACGGATGGGCTGTCGGGCAGAGCCGGCCACCCTGCTCGAGACCCTATCAAAGGCGGAGTTTTCTGACTGAAAGGACAGGTAATGGCCTGGGGCGGGCTGATGTCTCCTCTGAGTTAAGGACTCGGAGGCAAGTTCAGGGCTGCTGCGAGCGCTCTCCTCTCTCACCAATTTTTCTCTAACTTTAACTCTTTAAGAAAGAAAAAGGATTTCAGTTGCAAGGTCCAGTAACTGCTTAAGGGGAAGAGAGCATGAGTGTGCAGATCACAGATCACCAGAAGACAGAAAAGCACTTGGGGGTGGTTAAGCTCAGAAACCCACTACTGCTGGTCAAATAGAGGATTCTGAGTTGAGTTTCTAAATGTGCACACGTTTGCCATTTGAGTCGTGCCAAACCCACTCTTCCTTCTGTAAGGCTGAGAGGGATCAGATGCTACCCTGGAAGAATGGATGCCTTTTAACTAAATGAATACCCAGAAGCCACAGAAAAATTCATGAGTATGCGCCACCAGTATGCATGAGGGCACACGGAGGCTAGGCTATGAATCAGTAAGCTTCCCACATGTACAGGCCCAGTATAAGGACTGCAGAGGGAGTTCCCAGGCATATATCTGCCTAGACACCACATGTAATTTCACTGTCTCCTGGAAGTGTCAGAGCATTGGTGATTATTACCATTTTTTATTAAGCTCAACATACAACACACCATCACCTCTTTTCAAGCACTCAACTAATCACAAGCTTTTTCATGCAAAGCAGACTACATTCATTCATTAAAAAAAAAAAAAAAAGCAAAAAACTGTGACCAGTTAAGACATCATTACTTCCAACAGCTCCAGCACTAAGAAGAAGGTTAGAGAAAAGAGATTTATTGAAAGAATTAATGCACTGAGTATCTTCTCCCCTCTGGAACTGCTATTAGGCTCTAGGTTTATAAATAAACAAGATTATACTGTGTAGCACAGGGAAATATACACAAGATCTTGCGGTAGCTCACAGCGAAAAAAATGTGACAATGAATATATGCATGTTCATGTATGACTGAAAAATTGTGCTCTATACTGGAATTTGACACAACACTGTAAAATGACTATAACTCAATAAAAAATGTTAAAAAAAAAGAAAGGGAGGGCTCTGGTTATTTCTAGAGCTCTTCAAATATCTGAGAGCAAAGCTGAAGTCCGTTTTAAAAACTACCGACCTTTTCTTATTACTGCAGAAGCGAAGTAGCCAAGAGCTTTGGCTGTGGGTCCCAGGAGGCCTCTTTTCAAAGACTCAGCCAGTTTGAGCTGTGTGCTCGCAGGTAACCTACCTCCCCAGCTGCTTTACCTTTTAGATGGAAATAATAGTGACAAGATGCAATGTGATATCTGCTAATCACAGGGCTGAGTGCTTAGCACTGAGTAAACATTCAATAGTGCAAACTAGCCTTTGTTTTTACTTTTTAAAAAAAAATATCACGCAGTGAGAAAGGAGAAACCATTCAAGTTGCTTAGGAATGGATTACTAATTGGGGATAATCTTTAAAAAAATAAAGAATGCTTTTGTAGTGGGGAAATTGATTTCTTGGGGAATGTAAAATCATCGTTTACTTAAGATTAGTCAGCGAAAATAATTGCTTCTGATTGTCACTTTTTGGAAGGGAATACTTCCTTAAATGACAATGTACCCTGCTAAATGTGACATAAACGCCTACGTGTTTTTCCACATCAGATGCAGGATATCAATGTATATTTCATTAAAGAAAAATCAAAGAAGAATTCAGGGGGAAAAAAGCATCCTGAGTGGTTATTTTTCCCAGAGACTAGCCAGTGTTGGAGGTCTTCATATTTATAAGCTTTGCTAATCAAAAGGCAACTGAAATGTGGTTCAAGTTCTCCTGTGGAATGTGTCCTTCTAATCAGAGACAATCTGAATGTTGTCCTCCGCCAAGAACAAAGTGACTGTTACAAACTCAATAGATGGGTGCTTTGTCCTGCCAGTGACTTGCTCATTCTTACTCCTCCTGCCTTGCCCTGCCCCCAACCCTAAAAATGAAATGACAGGAGTTTTTGTCTGCGTTTAAAACCACATGCTCTGAATGTAACAGTGGAAAATTAACTACTGGTTGAGAGGCAGGCAACACGGAAAGAAAGAGGCTGGAAGTGCTGGGCGGGGGGCTGCTGACAAGATGGGACACTAGCTGGTTAGCCTGACTCTGGAGCACAGCCAAGAGATGCCGGTTATGCCCTCACTACTGCCCCCTCCTGGCAGAAGGTGAGAGGTGAGAAAGGAGAAGAGCAAGGGGTCTGGTCAAATGATTTTAAAAAAGAGAAGCAAAAGGAGATACTATTAGCAAGGATTAGGGCAATTAAGGAGAAAAGCAAATGCTAGGAAAGTAACTGCCAGCAGCCCCTTTTGAACACATGACTTTGAAGTTACTGCCACTGAAAAGAAGGCAAAGGAGGGTTAGTGTTGGTGACATGCAGGACGGGAGATGCACTCAGTAAACGCAAGCCCAGAGCTGCAGCTCGGGGGGGGTACCTGGAAGGCCAGTTGATAAGTGAAGGTGTGTCCCCTTCGGAATCTTTCTGGAGAAACCACTCATGCTTGGGTTTCCCGGTACTATTGTGTACAAAAAAAACAAAACTTTAGGTGACGTCTGTCACAATGTTAACACAGAATTATTATCATTGAAAACCCTCAAGGCTGAGTTTTGTTGAGTACAGAATAATCCTGGCTTTGGAAAAATGTTGAAATATATTTTGTCATGGGATTGATATTCGTTTCATGGAATTTCCAGGGTGTTTAGTTTGCTACTGAAATCAAGAGGTAGAATAAATATATCTAAAGCCACCAAATAAAGTGTTTTTTGGGTAATCTGAAAGAATCAGGAGCCTGTTATGGTCACACTCAGCCCACAAATACCAGACAATTCTCTTGGAAGAAGTTGGATAAAAAATATAAATTAATGTATCATCTCTAAGTTCTGTTAAGGTACACTGGTAAATAGCCAAATATAAAAATAGTGTCCATTTATCCTTTCCTACCTCCTTTCCCCGCTGGTAACCTTAAGTTTGGTTTCTATGTCTGTGAGTCTGTTTCTGTTTTGTAAATAAATTCATTGTGTCTTTTTTGTTTTAGATAGGGATAAATTGCAAGTTTGAGATTTGCAGATACTAACTACTATATATAAAATAGACAAACAGCAAGTTTCTTCTGTAGAGCACAGGGAGCTATATTCAATATCTTACAGTAATCTAGAATGAAAAAGAATACGAAAACGAATATACGTATGTATATGTATGACTAAAACATTATGCTATACACCAGAAATCGACACAACATTGTAAACTGACTAGACTTCAATAAAAAAAAAGGACGCAAAAAAAATAGTGTTCATGCAAAACAATACATATCAAATAAAGGTAATAAATAAAAAGAATTTAATAAGATCATCTCTTTAATTGCTATTATACATTTTCCTTCTCTATCACTGAATAATGCAGCCAACATAACAGTTATCAAAGACTAATTCAAGTCCATTCAGTGAATGTTTATTGAGTTCTAACTATGTACAACGCACAAAGCTGAGCTCTGAGAAGGAGCAAAGGTGAATCAGGCATCATGCCGGTCGTTAAAAACCTTACACGATGCTAGGCAAGATAATACGCGATTTACACATTGATTCCTCAATGCGCAAAGGTCGAATGTGACAGAGCAATAACGCCAGGCTGAAGATATTTTAGAAGGAAACCACAGGCAAGGAGAACCTTGCGATTAACTATGTAAAGCAAGGCATGGGCAGAAAGCTCAAACTACCGCCCTCGTACAATGCAGAAAGAAAATGGGGAAATTCTACATGCTACTTAAAATGTTTACCAGCTCAAAACTGCACCAAGCTACCCGTAAGAGTTCCTCACTACCAGGCTGGAAACACATTTCAGATCAAAGTAATCTCCAAAAGAGTAGAATAGTAATTATAGTCAAATTATCTTAATTTTCTGAAGTCATTTTAATTTGAGTTTTGATTCAAGCTAAGAGGCAAGAAGAGCCTGTCGGTCACCACCAGTGTACATCTTTCTGTGACCACCAGAATCTGCTGTAATTAGGCCTGGACTTCTGTTTCTCTAGTCTTCCCACACCCAAACCTCTCTCCAGTGTTACAGCTAGTTGGCCCGTGGTAGATAAAAACTTCGGCTGTCTGGGAAGCCATTTTATTTCCAACTATCAAGGGTTTAATTTTTTGACATTTACTTAAACACAGGAATTGGCACATCCTCTGCATCTAAGAAAGGAAGCAGTCGATGTGGCTCAGGATATAGGGGGAGAAAAGAGAATGGATGCTTGCTTTTGAAAACCATCAGTTAATATAACTCACATGCCTACATCAGAGTTATTTCATGGTTCAGATGCATTTTGTATGACAGACTGCTTTGTGAACTGTGACATACGCTGTACAACTTTCTGAATGTGACCTTCATTGATCAGAATAAACCTTGGTCAGTATCACCGTAAACAATTATTAGGCCAGTTATAAGATAAATAAGGACTGGGATGTCACGTACAACATGGTAAATATAATTAACACTGCTCTGCATTGTATATGAAAGGTGAGAGAGTCAATCCTAAGAGTGCTCATCACGAAGTTAAAATATTTGTCTTCTGTTTCTTTGATTTTGTATCTATGAGATGGTGGATGTTCACGAAACTTATTGTGGTCATTGTTTCACGATGTATGTAAGTCACATCATCATGCTGGCCACCTGAAACTCACGCAGCCTGAATGTCAATTGCATCTCAATAAAAGTGGAAGGAAAAATTAAAAAAGAGGGTTTGTCTTCACTCAATTTAAAGCAGGAGGGATTCAGAACAGTATTTCTCAAAGTAAGATTTTCAAGGCCCTGGAGATTGGCTAAGGCACTTATGGGGTGAAGTTTTCTCCCATCAAATTCAGAAAAAAGTGAGGGAGGGTGGGGAGAGATCTAAACTGAACTGAACATTTACTGCCCACAAGGCTGTCCTGCGCACATCGTCTGCGCTCCATCGTGGACTGTGGTTGGCTCTTGGCCTTTCTCTTTCTCACCCACAGGAGCACTTGACACATGGTCCCTCCCTTCACCTGCCTTCTACTTCACTCCTCACCTGCCTTGTGGATTCCGCCTCACCGCCTGCACCTCTAGGCTCAGGGGGCCTCGCGGCCCCCCACCCCAACAGTCCAGGCCGTGGTGACCGCATCCAGCTTTCACTCCCAGGCTGGCCAGCCTCCAGTGTTCCTCTCCACTCCCATCTCCCCTGTGAATTCAGTCTCTTGGGTTCAGCTGGCTACTCAACAGCCATCTTCAATCTGACGTGTCCAAAACATGAACTCGTGGTTTCCCTCCAAACCCAAATGGTAGTGGAGTCTTCCCTGTTTCAGCAAATGGCAACGCCCTGCTCTGAGCCTCCCTGCCGGAACACTCAGACTCACCTTTGACTCTTCTGTTTCCCTCTTACTTCACATCTAAGTTGTCAGCAAATCCTATTGGTCACCTTCAGAAGATAACCTCTTGTCACTGCCTCTGCAGCCATGAAGCTAGTTCAGGCCACCACCCTCTCTCACCGCGGTGACTGAGAGGACCTCTTAACTACTGTTCTCACACTTGCCCGCCTACAGGCTCAGCTGCCAGAGTAATTACCCTAAAATGGAAGGCAGATTGGGCATTCATTCCTTCGAACCCCTTATAGGGCTCCACACATCACCTAGAGCGAAACCCAAACCCTCCTGGAGGGCTATGGGCCCTCCCTGACCTGCCCACCCCACCCCACCTGTCTCACCATGTCACCCCATCACTCCCCTGCGCCAGGCTCCCACCCCACTGGTGACTGGAGGTCTCCTCAAACACTCCGCACATGGTGTGCACTCAGGCCCTGGCAGGGGCTGCTTCTGCCCGGGCCCACCCACCCAACCCCACAGCGGCCTGGCCTGCAGCCTCTTTACGTAGGTCTCTGCTCAGCTATCATCAGAGAGGCTTTCCTAACCTTAGCTGGACATCAAATAGCAACCCCCCATGTCTTCTTCTGATTAAATGCATGCCTCGGCTCCCCAAAATGGTGAACTGAAGCACAGAATTATGGAACATGGGAGTTCAGGATCAAAAGTTCCACCACGGAGCACAGTCTGCTTATGATACTGCAGGGGGCTCGGGGGATGCCCAGTCTCCAGGGAAAAGATCCATCATTCATGAAAGTACATATTTGATTTCTGGGGCTCAGTGGGATTGTTCTGAAGATGTAATAACAGCAGGTGAATGTTTTAAAATATGAAAAAAAAAGCACATCTGGATGGTGGCCTTGAGCTTCTTCCTCTCTCTCTTTTGTTTTTAAGAGGGTAGGTAATTAGGTTTATTTATTTATTTTTTAATGGAGGCACTGGGGTTCGAACCCGGGACCCTGTGAATGCTAAGTACATGCTCTATGACTGAGCTCTACCCTCCCCCGCTCTCTATTTTTTAAGCCTTGCATAGATCCTGTTATTTTATGCAGTGTCCCTTAATGCTAATGTTATGCCTAACTATCTTTTTAATAATGAAGGCTTGGTTGAAAATGTGAACAGCGGGAGGATCCGTTTCATATGAACATAATGAGTTGAACATATGATAACCAGGCCACGAGAGCTAAGGGAGGCCCTTGCAAACGAAGTTAATTATCAGCGTGGGGGCCGGAGAGCACAGCGGTGATGGAAACCTTTTCTCTCTTGACAGGGTTAACAGTTACACATTTCCCCAAACTCGCCAACTGGCAGCCTTAAAATACTATGTGCATTTGGATGTCAACGATACCTCAATTTAAAAATACATCACTGTTGGATGAGACAGTGAAGCTGTCTTGAGTAATCAAAAGGTAGACGTGGAGTCTCCTCTGAGCAGGAGCAAGATAAACATGAGCTAATCAGTCTCTTCTGGGCTCCCTCAGAGCCAACCTCAGTACCAAAGACCTAAATGCTGCCATCTTGGCTAAAAAAGGGTGAGGGTGGAAGGCGTGTGCAGAAGGACGGGGCTGCTGGAGGGAAGGGCCGGAGTCTTGGGAGGGGCTGCGGTGGCTGGCCTTCCAAAGGGGATGGAGTTTCCTGTTCCCACCTGGATTTGGGTTTCCATGTCTCCTGCTTGGATTCTAACGAAGTAACATAACCAAGTAATGCCTTAGTCGTGACCAAGCCTAGAACCAGGTTTTCAGGGCTGGAGACCGAGCTCACAAGGCCCCAAGGCAGCCAGTGGCTTTATTTTGCTCACTTACCACGATCCCCACTCGTAGCTGAACGGCATTTGTGAGCACACGGACTAAGCCAGCTGCAAGAGTTCCAGCCCCGGACAAAGTGGAAGGAGCCTTGCTGTACAAACAGGTTCTGCTGCGTGGGGTCACTGGTCCCCATTTAGACAAAGGCCGCATAGCAGAAGGAAAATGATCATCCCTGAGCCTGCTGCTTAGTTCAGGGACATTTTCTTCCCAGCGTGACTTTCTTGATGAAAGAAATGACCCCTGACTCCCATTCCTGTACAAGTCCCTTAGAGGTTGGTGGGTGCAGACTGGCTATCGCAGACGGCACTGTTCTAGCTTCTAGAGCTTTACACAGGAAACAACAGAAC